ATACACATATACACATACACATATACACATATACACATATACACATATACACATATACACATATACACATATACACATATACACATACACGCATGCATCTATGGGCGCATGTGGACACGTACACACACACATTCTAACTCACGTTAGACTAGGTTGGCCAAGTAATCTCATTCCTCAACAAAAAAGTGTCCGAACAATTGATTAGAAGGTGTAAAGTCATCACCAGCAGAGCAGTTTTTGCTTTTCTTCTCATCCTACTAGATCCCTTCTGCCAGGCACAATAGGATCTCTTGTTAATGGTGGAATACCTTAGTAAGATGTATAGCATAGCATTTTCTATGTGACTCCATTGCAGAGATGAATGGATCTCTTTAAAACATTTAATTCTTCTAATTATAAAGAAAGCAACTTTATTGCATTCAAATTTAAGAAAAAGCTGCTCATAAAAGTTACTATATTTAAAAAACAGAGATAAAGCTTTGGAAGATACTACAAAGGAAGTTCTCGTTGTTTTTTTATGGGGAATTTGTTGATTAGAATCATGTTAAACATTGGAAAAATACCTCTATTGGTCCAGACTGACATACAACCAATTGGCAGATACTGTACATATAACCAGACAATAACTTAGATGAATACATACCAGAAAAATAACAAAAAAAACTATGTGCATAGTTATTTGGAGGGTGAAATACAGGAATCAGCACTAACATGGATGATTGGCACTGACAAGAGGCCTTGAGAAAATATAATATGGATTAGATCAAGCTCAATAGTCTTGGTTGACAGAAATAATATGCCAAATACAGCTGTCTTTTTAAATTTCTCATTCATCTGTTTATTTTATTGAGACAAGTTACAATGCTTAATCTGAATATGAGTTATGATTCTGCACAATTGAATGCTTACAAATAACTTCAAAATCAGTAATCCAAAATGAAGTGGTAAGAATGCACTTTATTTGTTCAATTACTTTTAGATGTACAAGATGATTCAGATTAATATAAGGCATTTGTATTGTTAGGATGTTTTTGTGCACTTCTTGTTTCTTTAGAGAAAACTTCATTAATTCATAACCTTCAGTGCTATGATATTCATCAAACCTTACAGTGTCAGAATGACAGGTAGTTGTGTTTCAAGCCTGCCCACTGCACTTCTGTCAGATACCACAAATCAATCTGATTT